CTTCGCGTTTATTTATTATCGGATCGCCGCGCCGCTCGCCGGCCAGGATGCCTCGACTGAATTTTAATACGGGCTCTGCCCCTTCCACCATCGAACCGCAGCTGCTGCTGAATAAAATGGCGAACCTGTGTATACCTGTGCGAGTGTTGGTGTATCGCACGTACGGGTTGAGGGGGGGCTGTGGTGTTTACATCGGGAGGGACGCACGACACGACCCAGAACAACACACCGCGTTACGGTCCTCGGGAGTGGACGTCGTCGTCGTCGTTGAAGGCCGCGCAGCCACGCGCGCGCGCCGTGCCGGTCGGTGGTGGTGGCGGTGGTGGTGGTGTCAATGAAGAAAGCAGCGAAAAGAAAGTGGAGGGGAAGAGCGTCAGGCCACAAGGACGGCGTTGTTCAACTCGGCCGGCCTTGACCTAGGGAAGGGCTGCTGCTGCTGCTGCGCTGCCTGACCCACCTTGCAGGACCGGTTCTATACCGTCCGGGAGGCCTTTCTCGTCGTTGTCGGTTTGCGCGATTCGCTCGCTGCGCCACACATACTACTGCCGTTGTCGCTGTCGCCGCCGCTGCTGCCGCGCGGGTCGGAGAGGAGAGGAGCTGAACTTCCGGATGCGAACGCCAGTCGGGCAGGCCGGGGCAGGGCAGCTCCTCATCCCCGCGGCCTTGCGGCACCTCGGCGACAACGACCTGCGACCTGCGCGGAGCGCAGCGCCAGCAGTGAGGGCAACAAGAGAGCAGCCACAATTACTGCCTCTCTGTCTCTCTCCCCCTCCCCCTCCGTGCAGAAGACAAAAGGGCATCGTCTCCTCTGGAGACAAAAAAAAGTGCCGCGTTTGGAAACACTGCCATAAATATATAAAGGACGCTGGGCACGAGGATGGTGCCTAGCCTAACAAGGTGCCGGGCGCCGGCCAGCAGGCAACGGCCCCTCCTCCTCCTGCCACGGCACCTTCCACGCCCCCCGCAGGCCGTGTGCAGGCAGGTGTCACCGTGCCGTCGTGCCATCGTGCCTCGCCATTGCTCGCGCTGGATTTTCCTTCTGCTTTATTTCCCGCGTATTTTGTTACACCTCTCTCTCTCTCTCCACTCTCTCACCTCACCCCCGACCCCTTCCTCTCTTTTCTTTCTCCCCATCCCCCTCCTCCTCCCCGCTCCGTTTTTGTCTCCCTCTCCTCACCTCACGCCTCTCCTGCGCCTCCGCACCGGTGCCTCTGCGCCAGGCGCGCGCTTTCCGCTGCCTAGCTGTCATTATTTCGCGTCGGCCACCCCGTGGCACCTCCCCCTCCCC